CAACCCCTTTAAGGTGCCATAAACGCTTTCATAAATGACTGATTTCATTTCCAATTGATCTCTATTGATCTATAGGAATAATTGATCTATAGACAACAGCGTATTTGATTGATATGACACACACACATCAAAAATGGCTACTCTTTGGATTGTCCCCCTGGATTTTACTGGAATAAAGTATCTTGATGTTTTAGCAGTGGTGCGGCGCTTCAATTTACATTTCTGTATGGACAGCTCAATATACGATGCCTGTGTGCTGGGATGAATGAACTCCTGCGCATGTGCTGAAGATCCATCGAATGATCCACATGTCAGCCTCCCATTAAAGTGGCTGTAAACCTCTGAAATGGAAAATGAACAAAGCATATCCCTCTACAGTGTGTACTTGCCTTAGTCCAAAGCACCTAGTATCATCTCTCATCGCTTTGCTATCTGTATGACTCACCTCTGACATTATATGCATTATGGGCAACTGTGGCCCTCTAGTTGTTGTGGAACTAGAGGTCTCATAACTCCAGAGGCAGAGACATGGTGGGAGGACTGACAGTTACTCTCAGAGGCAGAGGAACGATAGGACTTCCGTAACAGCTGAAGGGCCACAGTTGCCAACCTCTGACACGCCCCCCCCCCCCACTACAGCACACAACAGGTGATTGAAAGCCTAAGCTGTGCATGTTTCCCTATGGCTACTCTTCGGATTGTCCCCCTGGATTTTATTGGAATAAAGTATCTTGATGTTTTAGCAGTGGTGCGGTGCTTCAATCTACATTTCTGTATGGCAGTGTTTCTCAACTCCAGTCCTCATGGACCCCCAACAGGTCATGTTTTCAGGACTTCCCTCAGATGAAACAGCTGTGGTAATTACTAAGGCAGTGAAACTGATCAAATCACCTGTGCAAAATAATGGAAATCCTGAAAACATGACCTGTTGGGGGTCCATGAGGACTGGAATTGAGAAACACTGCTGTATGGGCAGCTCTATATACGTTCTCGGCACGGTGCCTGTGTGCTGGGATGAATGAACTCCTGCGCATGTGCTGAAGATCCATCATCTTACATCAGCTATTCAAGATGGCCGAAGACCCAACACATGGAAGAATCTTGGGAAGAAGAAGCCGGCACCAGCAAGGGACCTCGTGGACATTGGGTCATTGGAGAGGGGTAAGCTGAGGGGTTCAGTTCCACCTTAAATGATAAGTACACTTTAATGGGTTTTGATCGATAGTTAGAAGATACGATTAGAAATGATCAATCGTATTTTTGTTTTTCCCCATGCAATCCCATAATCTGATCGATCAAAATACGATCAAATTCATGAACAAAGCATTTCAGTTCTGCCAATTGATGCAAAATTCTCCTCGAATCGAATCTGATCTAAATAGAATCTAAATTGATCAGAAGAGAATTCTTTCCTATTTGATAGTTTACCGATTTGAGCGTTTTGATTGATCGGTACATCGATAGGATAATACATTTGAATCCTGTATGGCCACCATTACACCAACACTTAGTTACTGCAGAAAAGACGTATTATGTCTCTTCTGCAATAGAACAAACTGACCTGCCCGGCTTCTGAAGAACGTATGAGGAAAGTGGAAACACAGCGCTGGACCTGTAAGGTGATCTTATTGGTACTGTTGTGTTAAAGTATTGATGTTGATGATCTGGTTCTTGGGCAGGTGGCTTCTACACCCCAAAGGATCTCCACGATCTCCTTGGCTTGTAGCGTAATGTAATAACAATGGAAATTGAAGCGCCATTCCACTGATTCAGAGGTCCAGATACAGTGCACTTCAGGAGTCCAAAAACAAATTTGCAGTGTCAGCATCCCAGGAAAAAAAAAATGGCGCCAGTTATGGGAAAACGAGTCAGGTGATCAAGGGTAGTTATTCAATGGTGCCAAAACTGCAATATGTTTGTTATTCGTAAACTGTTACTTGGGTCCAAGTGGTCATATTAGGTCAATGGTGTCACAAGCATCCCTTGCAGCTGCAGAGCAGGGAATGTCCTGCCCACTGCTGATCGGCTCCGGAATGACAGCTGATTTCCATGTTCACGCTGAACCCAAACTCATCCCTAATAACAACCAATCAGAGTTCAACAGACCTCTGCAAGATGGATTCTGGTTGGCTGCTTTAGCCACAGCACTTTACTTGTAATACATGTAAAATGTTTTGAAAGGTGGACAGGTGCTTTAAATAACACAGAGCAGGCCGCCAGGACCTTTTTCCTACACAACAAGAAAATCGCCGCTTTGGCAGGAATACTGAATGCACATTATTATTAGCTACCTAGTATCCAACACAGTTGCATGTGTGGGAGTGGGTTAATTATAATGATTAAAATAATTTGCAGGATGGTTAGTTTCCAGGGGTCAGATTTAATTCCACTCATGTGTTCTTTCTTTGTGTATAAGTAGAGGGTGCAGAGTATCGCAGGTCACACTGGGCACAGTACGAGAGGGTAATGTTCTGCAGAGTTATAGACAAGAAGCAGTCTCTCTGCAGATCATTAAAAATAAAAATAACAGGCTGAGAAAAAAAATTGCTGTGCTTACTGAGTCAGTTCCCCTTGCTCAAAGCAATGCTATTCATTTTGGGCATAGACAGAGCCGACTGTACCAAGAGCCACTTGTAGGCCTGTAACTAGATCTGTAGTGGGATGCAGGTTGTATTTGGGGGATTTCAGGGTTACAGTAGAGGAACCTGGTGACAAGAGTAGAATGGAGAAAAAGGGTATAGGAAGGACACGCTTGTGGGGTCCAGAGTCCAGACAGCCACCTCGTGGATCAAGATGGGGACCACATGAGGGAAAGTTGGGAATGCAGGGCAGGTTAAAGGGTATGTAAACCCCAACAATTTTTTTGAAAGTTTATATACGCAAGTGATCAAATTCCCTCTGTTCTCAGCTGCAGAACAGCTGAGGGAGGAGAAACAGCAGGTACACTGATCATCCCACTGAATGGCTGTACAGGGGGTGGGGCGTGTCAGGATAGGTCTGATCAGTGAAGAGCAGGCTGAGTTACATATAGTCACATAGTTAGTCAGGCTGAAAAAAGACAAAAGTCTATCCAGTTCAACCATTAAAAAAAAAAAAAAGTTATTGTAAGGGAACCGACCCCAGACTTCACTGGGGTATTTCCGTTTGACTACCGCTTCCCTGTCCACACACAGACACCAATCTTGAAGTAAACCGGAGTAGACTACTTTATTTTAACACAGATACAAGATATGTACATTCAAAGGAACAACCCCCCCCCTCCACGCATAATGACACAAGGCGGGGCACCCTACATTTAGTAACAAGAGACACACCAGCAGACAGTCCCATCAGGAGGGAGGGCTGCTGGAGACACCCCCCCACTAAGCCAATACACACAAACACATACATCCCATAATAGATTGCTCCCAAGCAAGACACACAATAGAACAATGGGATGCAACCATATGGCATAAAACAATCAACAACCCCCACACCCCAATATTAGGACAGATCACCCTGTACCCCTAACAGGAACAGGGTGACTTACACATAATAGGGATATGGGGAGCTGAGACAGGGGTCTCCCCACTTCTCCAAAGTGAGCTGTGGTCCATGGGCCCCCCACCCAAAGTGACTCCCAACACAGTTATAATCCTACACTCACAGTTGATCCACAGGAAGGCAAAAAAAAAAAAACCCAGCAAAGTACGATCCAATTTGCTCCTGCAAGGAAAAAATGCCTTCTGATCCTCCGAGAGGCAATCGGATATTCCCTTGATTAACTTTACCTCTAAATTCCCAGCATAGCATGTAAAAATGGCCACGCTGTGCTCTCATGCCTGGTGTGGTCAGTTTTTATTAAGAAAGCAGAAGGACTGGTAGGAACAGCAGGAATTTCCCACTAAGGAAGCAATACAAAGAGAACAGGGGACTTTGTCATACAAGTATATGGTACAGCAGGCACGTATGAAGAATAGGAAATATTGGGTTTACATACTCTTTAATGTCTTAATTAAAAATGTATTACATTGCATTTTAAATTTAGCACGTGTGAGTGCCAGGATGTGCCTGTCTTTAGCTTCCTTGTACAATGACAGTCAGATCGAAAGAGGAAGGGAATCGGTGCAACCCTACCCCCAATCTATTGATTGGATGATGAAGGAGCAGCAGACCATTGAAAAGGGTCATCCCTCTGCTCACTTTGCTCTCACCTCTTTTCATTATGTTCCTCCTTCACACATTGGCATACAGCTGAGCTTGATTTGCTCTCCATGCTGTCCTTCTTTCTCTCAATATGAGTACCATTGTACAAGGAAGCTAAAGTCAGGCAGATCCTGGAACTCACACTAGCAGCATATAAGTTAAACATTTAATAATGACTGTTGTTTAAAAATAGCAAGCAAATGATAAAATCAAGTTTTTTTTTTTTTAATTGTTTAACCACTTCCCGTCTGGCCCATGTATATAAACGGCTAGACGGGAGCAGTGCAGGGGCGGGTGGCCATTTATAAACGTCCTCCCGCTGCCTGCTTCTGCTTGTCCTCCGGACACAGTGGAACACCGATCGCTGTACGGAACCTCTGTGTGAGCTCCCAATCATGTGATCACTGATTGGCCAATCAGTGATCAAATGAAGAGTAGTACGCAAGATGTCACTTCTGACATCATTGCTTACTACGTGTGAAATCTGTGAATGATCACAGAGGTCACATGGTACAGGGCTATTCACAACAGCCTTGTACCATGTGACAAGCTGTGACCAATCACAGCTCACACAGTATTTCTCAATGGCTGCAAGAATGCAGCCAGAGAGAAGGAGAAATGATTGCTTTTACAGCCTTTATTAATTTATATAGCAAAAAAAAATAAAAATCCCAGCGGTGAATAAGTACCACCAAAATAAAGTTTTATCTGTCTCAAAAAAATGCTAAAAAATTCATATGGTTACAGTGTTGCATGACCGCGCAATTGTCATTCAAAGTGTGATAGCGCTGAAAGTTGAAAATTGACCTGGACAGGAAGGAAAGTGTCCAGACTGGAAGGGGGGGAAAGTGTCCAGACAGGAAGGGGGGGAAAGTGTCTGGACTGGAAGGGGGGGAAAGTGTCTGGACTGGAAGGGGGGGAAAGTGTCCGGACTGGAAGGGGGTGAAAGTGTCCGGACTGGAAGGGGGGGAAAGTGTCCGGACTGGAAGGGGGGGAAAGTGTCCGGACTGGAAGGGGGGGCAAGTGTCCGGACTGGAAAGTGTCTGGACTGGAAGGGGGGGAAAGTGTCCGGACTGGAAGGGGGGGAAAGTGTCCGGACTGGAAGGGGGGGGAAAGTGTCCGGACTGGAAGGGGGGGAAAGTGTCCGGACTGGAAGGGGGGGAAAGTGTCCGGACTGGAAGGGGGTAAAAGTGTCCGGACTGGAAGGGGGTAAAAGTGTCCGGACTGGAAGTGGTTAAGGCTACTTTCATGTTGATTCATTTTTGCCACGTTTGTGGTGCGTTTTTTTGTTTTTTTTTTTTTACAGGACACGACTCAAAAACCACACCAAAAAAAACGTAACGTGGGTGCATTTTTCCTGCTTTTTTTTTTTTTTACTGCAACAAACCTACACCAAAAATGCAAAAAAAAAAAAGCAAAACGGAGCCCGCAATGTATCAATGTGAAGAGTTCTATAGAAATACATGTTCACGTGTTTTCTTTTTCATTTTTTTTCAGCGCTGAAAGCTGAAAAGTGGCCTGGACAGGAAGGGGGTAACAGTGTCTGGACATGAAGTGGTTAATGTTGCTAGTTCAGGTAGCGCCGAAAAAGTCCCAATTATCTTCCATATTGTTGATTGTCATGGCTATTGTTACAACAGGGAAAGCCTCTGCTGCATCCTGCAAACATTGTTCTTTATGTTGGTTCAGTCCTGTTTAGGTATGACATTTGGGCCATACGCAGCCCCTACGTTTTCTAGTTTTTGTCACTTTTTTGATCCATAATAGACATGGATGGTTGAAATAATGGATTTACGTTAAGTGTTTTGGCCAAGTCACTTGACTGGGAAATACGGGGTTAACCGTTGGCTGGCCGGGCGGCTCTCTCCGAATCGTCATTGTTTAGAGCTTTTCCATAACTGCTTATTATGTGGAAGAGAGGTCTGCACAAAGCCCGAGCCCAGCACCCGCAATTCTGCTGTGATTGCAGAACAGTGCAAGGTATAATCTTGTAGCCATATGTTATTCTGGGTAATCCAGATGTACTTGTGATAGGTCCGATTCACAGAAGTTATTTCACATGCCGACCTCTCCAGTGTGTGTGTGTGTGTATATCTATCTATCTATATATATATATACATATATATGTGTGTGTGTGTATATACAGTTGTGTTCAAAATAATAGCAGTCAGACATCACTAACCGGATCAATCACTGTTTTTGGTAGAAATGATATTTCTACATGGCAAATAATTTCCTAGCAGGTGTAGTAGAGTAATAGAAATCCAACAGACCCCACAGTCATGACATGCATGCTGCTGATTCTGTGTCACTGAATCACTCATTGAAAGGGACGTGTTCAAAATAATAGCAGTGTGGAGTTCTATTACTGAGGTCATTCATTCTTTGAAAAACAGGTGGCAATTATTGCCCTTATTTAAGGAAGGAAGGCAGCAAATGTTGTACATGCTGGTTACAGTGCATTTCTCTCTGAAATTCTGAGGAAAATGGGTCGTTCCAGACATTGTACAGAAGAACAGCGTACCTTGATTAAAAAGTTGATTGGAGAGGGGAAAACATATAAAGAAGTGCAGAAAATGATCGGCTGCTCAGCTAAAATGATGGCAAATGCTTTAAAATGGCAACCAAAACCTGAAAGACGTGGAAGAAAGCGAAAAACTACCATTGGAATGGATAGAAGAATAGCCAAAATGGTGCGGACTCAGCCAACAATCAGCTCCAGGAAGATGAAAGAAGGTGTGACGTTCCCTGTGAGGACTGTTACAATTAGAAGACGCCTATGTGAAGCCAAGCTATCTGCAAGAAGTCCCTGCAAAGTCCCACTGTTGGAAAAAAGACGTGTGCTGAAGAGGTTACAATCTGCCAAAGAGCACATTGACTGGCCTAAAGAGAAATGGCCCAACATTTTGTGGACTGATGACAGTAAGATTGTTCTTTTTGGGTCTAGTGGGCGGAGACAGTTTGTCAGACGACCCCCAAACACTGAATTCAAGCCACAGTACACTGTGAAGACAGTGAAGCATGGTGGTGCAAGCATCATGGTATGGGGATGTTTCTCATACTACGGTGTTGGGCCTATTTATCACATACCAGGGATCATGGATCAGGTTGAATACATCAGAATACTTGAAGAGGTCATGCTGCCTTATGCTGAAGAGGAAATGCCCTTGAAATGGGTGTTCCAACAAGACAACGATCCCAAACACACCAATAAAAGTGCAACATCTTGGTTCCAGACCAACAAGATGGACGTTATGGAGTGGCCAGCCCAATCCCCGGATCTTCATCCAATAGAAAACTTGTGGGGTGACATCAAAAATGCCGTTTCTAAGGCAAAACCAAGAAATAGAGAAGAACTGTGGAATGTGGTCCAATCATCCTGGGCTGGAATACCTGATCACAGGGGCCAGAAGTTGGGTGACTCCATGCAACACAGATGTACAGCAGTTCTCAGAAACAGTGCGACTACAACCAAATATTCATGAAGTCATTCAAAGGAAAGCAAAATCTTCAAACATTTCTCAGTTTATATAGTGAATGTTTGAGTTTGTAAAGAAGAATACAAACACTGCGATTTTTTTGAACCGTCTAATATTCACTTTTCTTCCATTTTTTTAGAGGAACAACACAAATTTGATGTATTTTTCTTCATGTTGTGATTTGGAATAGAATGTGTCGTGTTCCCAATGCATTTGTGTGGATGGAAATAAAAGCTATTAGAAGGATTTTCAGCTTTAGTCACTTTTTTCAACACACTGCTATTATAATGAACACAACTGTATATATATTTTTATATACATACATATATATATATATATATATATATATATATATATATATTATTATACAGGATTTATATAGTGCCAACAGTTTGCTAAGCACTTTACAATATCTCCTAGATTGTAAGCTGGAAAGAGCAGGGCCCTCGAACCCCTCGTGTATTGTTTTGTTACTGTATTGTCTCATGTTCTGTCCCCCCACTATAATGTACAGCGCTGAGCAAACCTTTCTGGCGCTATATAAATACTGTATAATAATAATAATGAGGGAGACAGTACAATTACAATACATTTCAGTACAGAAGGAATAGGAGGGCCCGGCTTGTGGAGCTTACAATCTAAAGGAAGGGGGAGGTGATACAAAAGGTGATAGCTGCGGGGGATGATCTGGTGGAGGTGAGTCAAGTACAGTTCTTAGGTGGAGGTGGGGTAGGCTTCCCTGAATAAGTGAGTTTTCAAAGATCGCCTAAAGGCAGACAGGGTGGGGGCTGACAGGACATACTGTGGTAGGGAGTTCCAGAGGATGGGAGAGGCTCTGGAGAAGTCCTGGAGGCGAGCGTGGGAGGAGCTGGTGAAGGAGCTAAAGAGGAAGATATCATGGGAGGAGCAGAGTGGGCGATTTGGGTGGTATCTGTGGGTGAGGTTGGTGATGTAGCTGGGGGCAGTGTTGTGGATGGCTTTGTAAGCTGTGGTTAGTATTTATATATATATATATTTGTGTGAATGTTTTCCCCCACGATGTTTCTGGACCTGGCCCCTCCGAAAGTGCCAAGGATAAAATTCTATACGATACGCTTCCCCACAAGGCAGACAACACTTAATTCAAACATCCAGAGCGTGAACCGCATAAGACTCTGTTATCTGACCCGCACTGTGGAGATGCAGAAACACGCTACACCAGGTTTAAATTACTTTTACTTTTTGTGAAACCATTTGGTATGTCTTAAGAGGAGGCTAAAATCTTGATAAAGTTTTCAGATATATTGTGTGGCAGAAAAAAAAAAATTGTGAAGACCTGACCATTAATTTCAGGTACTTCTATAGCGCCGTCAATTTACGCAGCGCTTTACATATATATTGTACATTCACATCAGTCCCTAACCCTCAAGGGGTGTACAATCTAAGGTCCCTAACCCTCAAGGGGCGTACAATCTAAGGTCCCTAACCCTCAAGGGGCGTACAATCTAAGGTCCCTAACCCTCAAGGGGCGTACAATCTAAGGTCCCTAACCCTCAAGGAGCGTACAATCTAAGGTCCCTAACCCTCAAGGAGCGTACAATCTAAGGTCCCTAACTCACATTCATACATACACATACTAGGGACAATTTAGACAGGATTCAGTGAACCTACCAGCAGTGGTGGACTGACAACTCATGGGGCCCCCGGACAATAGGGGATCATGGGGCCTCGGGGCAATAGGGGATCATGGGGCCCCGGGGCAATAGGGGATCATGGGGCCCCGGGGCAATAGGGGATCATGGGGCCCCTGTGTCCTTGCCCAAACTCAAAAAAGCCTATGAAAAAGGTACCAGGTGAATCTCATGGGGCCCCCTACTGACCCCGAGCCCTCGGGCAGTGCCGATTTTCCAAATGGTCAGTCCGCCGCTGCCTACCAGCATGTCTTTGGAATGTGGGAGGAAACTGGAGTACCCGACAGAAACCCGTGCAGGCACAGGGAGAACATGCAAACTCCAGGCAGGTGGTGCTGTGGTTGGGGGATTCGAACCAACGACCCGAGTACTGCCAGGTGGAAGTGCTAACCATTTAGCCACTGTGCTATCCGTCACACTAATATGAGCTTGCTGGACAACCTATTTCAAAACCATGAGCATTGATATGGAATTGCCCCCTCCTCTGTAAGTGTGTACCAGGGAAGGGAAGGCTTTCCACAAGATTTTTGAGTGTTTGTGGGAATTTGTTCCCAATTAGCCAAAAGAGCATCGTTGAGGTCAGGTACTGATGTTGGGTGAAAAGATCAGCGTTCCATTTCTTCCCAAAGATATTCAGGGCTCTGTGTAGGTGACTTGAGTTCTGGCAATCTAAGCTCATCAAGCTTTATGGATCCCCACCTCCATGACTAAGCCCTGCGGGTGAGTCGAAATGCGTTGGAGGTGTGGCTTGGACAGAGCCAAGCTGAAGCCAAATGCATTGATCATACTTGGGCTGAGCTGGAATGCAGCGGTTTAACTTTTTCCTTTCATGTGTGTACACAGAGCCTGAACAAGCTCTTCCTCCACCTCACAGTGGGAGTCAATGAAGCTTTGAATGTCTATCTAGAGCGGTACCCAAAGCTATACACTCACCGGCCACTTTATTAGGTACGCCTGTTCAATTGCTTGGTAACACAAATTGCTAATCAGCCAATCACATGGCAGCAACTCAATGCATTTAGGCATCTAGACGTGGAGAAGATGACTTGCTGAAGTTCAAACCAAGCATCAGAATGGGGATTTAA